CCCCAAAACCCCAAAACCCCAAAACCCCAAAACCCCAGCTTAATCAAAACCCCAAAATATATTAAAATCATCAGGTGTTCATGTGAAAATGGCAGCATTAGAGTAGATGTAGAAAAATATGGTCTAGAAACGCTTAAAAGTTATTATTTCTACTTCACCAAGTTGGTTTGCTTCAAAAATTTGCTCAGCTTCATCATAGATAATTTCACACATATCAATGTTTACTTTTTTGAGACTCAATCTTAAATCTGGAGAACTTGACAAGCCTTGCACCAAGTTCTTGAATTCATCAAGGTTGTTCTCCCAATCACTTCAACCATAGCTTCCTGTTGCTATTAAATTTAGTTTCTGGATTTGGCAGTTTTTAAGAGCCTTTGAAAAATCAGGAATGCTTGGGATTGATAACTTGCAAAATCACAATCCTAACTCTCTGACATGCTTGTAAGCTGCCACCAATCTTTTCAATTGGGGATAGCCAATGCAGAAAGACTGAAATAACACTCTTTGGATAACTTTAGAACTAAGTCTGGTCAGTGGGTTTAAGTAATTGAGCTTATTCATATCCGCTCCACCCCCTGAAATAAATCCGAGTTCATTAGTTTTATTTGGGAATGAGAACTCTAAGAAATCTTCAAAATGCCTATTTTTAGACTCAGCATAAAAGAAATTGACCAGATTTATATCAAATAGCCTGAAATGGTCGAAACTTTGTGCAAGCTTTATATCGCTGAGATCGGAGAAATCCATCGAGAGGCGACTATTTTTTGGAGCTTCTTCAGAGTTTGGATTCAATGGCTTAATTTCTCGATCCTTTGGGCAGATCTGATAGAGAATGCTCTGGCATCTTCTAAAATCTTGCTCCTTGGCTTTGGACAGGATAGACTTCTCTAGACTGCACAATTAGAGATGAACTAGGGGTTAGACCAATGTCAGAATTCGTCAGAAAATTTTAGGTAAATTAATAAAAGAGTGCTAGTTGGAATATTGAAAAATACGAAGTTTAAATATTTAGGAAAAAGAGATTTGGTGAGATATCGAATAAATTCTGGAGACACAAGGCTGATAAAGTCTCTGTAATTTAAGTAGGAGCCTCTGTTCCAAGGAATTTTTGATGTAATTATAAAAGAAGTTGACAGATTTTGGATCTAACACTAATAATTTGGAACCTGTGGAAATTAAAGGATGACACTTTAGAACACTCAAAAACTGAGCTATCTGTTACCTGATTAATTGTGTGATCTCTTCTTGAGTAGCTTTTGGAATGCTTTCCATTTTATTATTATAAAAATGTTAATTTAAATTTTATTTTCCAATATGCCTGCAGAAGAGTGGGGTTTTGGGGTTTTGGGGTTTTGGGG